CAATCCTTGAGGGGGTTTTGGGGGCCCCAAGGGCGTTTGGGGGAACCTGGTGCAGTTAATTTGTCACCTGGTTCCTCCAACAGATGAATTTTTGGGGGCTTCTGAGGGGGTTTGGAGGGTCCTAGGAAGGGTTTGGGGGTCCCCAGGGGATTATGGGGTTCCCTGAGGGGTTTTGGGGGTTCCCATGAGAGTTTTGGGGGTCAGGGCTTACCCCAGGGATGACCTCGGCCTTGCCCTCCTCACGCCACTCGGCCACTTTGGCGTTGATCTGCTCCCGCACCTCCGGCTTGATCTCACCTGTGTCACCTGGATTTGGGGTTTGGGGGGGTCAGGGGCAGTTTTGGGGGTCCCAGGGGCAGTTTTGGGAGTCTGGGGATACCCAAGAAGAGGGCGAGGAAGCTCTGGGTTGGCGTGAGGGACAGTTTGTGGGTTTTGGGGTCAGTTTTGGGGTCGGGGGGTACCTGAGAACAGGGCGAGGAAGCCCTGGGTGCGGGAGTTGATGACGTCGATCTCGTGCAGCGACACCGTGTGAACGACCTCGCGCCGCTTCTGCAGCTCCCCGTCGGGGCACTGCACGAATTTCGTCTGGGGGGGAGAACTCAGGGGGTCAGAGTCACCCCAAAACCCCCCTGTGCCCCCCTGAGACCCCCAAAAACCTCACCTGTGCTCCCATGGCGTCGTAGTCCCGCGCCCGGGTGAAGGAGCGCCCCAGCTTTGAAATCTTCCCCGTGGCCTTGTCGATGGTGATGACGTCCCTGGGGACAGGAACAGAATATTCTGGTATTTTTCTTCTCCCCTCATGTTTCCCGCCCTTTTCTCCCCTCACGTTTCCCGCTCTTTTCTCCCCTCACGTTTCCCGCTCTTTTTTCCCCTCACGTTTCCCGCTCTTTTCTCCCCTCATGTTTTCTACTCTTTTCCCCTCACATTTCCCACCCTTTTCCCCTCACATTTTCCATCCTTTTCCCCTCACATTTTCTACTCTTTTCACCTCACATTTCCACCCTTTTCCCTTCATGTTTCCCACTCTTTCTCCTCTCGTGATTCCTGTCCTGTTTCTCCTCACCTTTTCCACCTTTTTCCCCTCAAGTTTTCCTGCTCTTTTCTCCCCTCACGTTTCCCGCCCTTTTTTCCCCCTCACGATTCCCGCTCTTTTCTCCCCTCACGTTTCCCGCTCTTTTCTCCCCTCACGTTTCCCGCTCTTTTCTCCCCTCACATTTCCCACCCTTTCCCCCCAGATTTCAGGGTCCCCACCCCAATTCCAGGGTCCCTCACCCTGATTTTGGGGTCCCCCCACTTCACCCTCCCTGTCCCTCCTCCCTGCTTAGCCCCCTACTCTCTTTACCCCCAACTTTTAAATCATTTCCCACCCCAATTCCACCCCTCACCCCCCAAATTTTGAGATCCTCGCCCCGATTTCTGGGCATCTCTCAAGTTTTGGGGTCTCCCCAATTTGGGGGACCCTCACTCACCCTGCCTGAACCTTCTCCTTGCTCAGAGCCTCGATCATCTTCGCCCCCAAATCGTAAATGGTTTCCATCTCCGTCGTTTTCAGCGTCAGCTTCCCCACTTTGGTCCCCTGTGAGGAAACTCAAGGTTTGGGGGGCCCTTGAAATTCTGGGGGGGGCTTCGAGGGGATTTTGGGGTGCCCCGAGGGGATTTTGGGGGTTGAAAGAAGGTTTTGGGGTCCCCCCTCACCGTGCCGGTGGCCGGGCGGTCGATCTGGATCTCCACCACCTCCCCCTCGATGATCTCAGTCTCTTCCCTGTAAGGCAAAAAAAGGGGGGGAAACACCCCAAAAATGAGGGGGGAACCCCAAAATTTAGTTGTTGGGACGTTAAATGGGGTGGAAAAAGCCCAAAATTGGGGTGGAGAGTGAAATCCGGGGGGTGCAGACTCTACCAGAGTAACAAAACAGGATATGGGAACCCCAAAACGGGGCAAGGGGACCTCAAAATTGAGACAGAACCCCAAAATTTAGGAAGAAACCTTAAAATTGCTGTGTTGGACCCCAAAACTGGGAGAAAATATTAACTTGAGCTCAAAAGAGGAAAATGGGGAGTGGGAAGCACAAAATGTGGTGGAGAGACTGAAAATGAGGGGGCAGATTCTGGAATTTGAGGAATTTGAGGGGGGAGATCCTAAATCTGAAGTAGGGGCACCCTTAAATTAGGATGGAGAAGCCCAAAATTGTGAAGAAACTTGAAATTAGGTGGAAAAAACCCGAACTAAAGAGAAAGCCCGCAAAAAAGCTCAAAGCTGAAAGGAAAATGGGGAGTAAAACCAAAAATATGAGGTAGGGACCCCAAAATAAAGCAGGTGAGGACCCTGAAATTGGGGTGGAAACCTCAAAATTTGACACCAAAACGCCAAAATTTGACAAGAGCGCCCCGGAAACGGAGTGAAAACCAAAGAGAACTTAAAACAGACGAGCAACACGAGCAGGCAGAGGAGTTAAAAAAGGCGTGGGGACCCCAAAAAGCGGCGTGGGAGCCCCGAAACGGCGGCCGTACTTGATGCGGACGCCGATGGAGCGGCGGAAGGCCTGGGTCAGCGCCTCCGTGCGCGACATCTCCAGGGAGAAAATCTCGCTGCCGGCGATGGCCGTGAACGGCGTGTCGGGGCCCAGCGCCTGCGCCATCCCTGCGGCGAAAAACGGGGGATTTGGGGGTCAGGGGTGAGTTTGAGGGGGGATCTGGGGGGAT